TTACGTCAATGAGCGTTCCGGTGCACTACACACGTCACAACTAAATAGCAGCGACTGGTTAAGTTAAAAACCCGCCTAGCATCAAGCAAACAAATCCTATCGCTGTGCGGTCAGACGGTTTCCACAAAGTGAAACTGGCTGATGAATCAGGTTAGGTTGTTTAACAGTGCACTGCATAATTATTGCTTTAACTGGAATGTTCAATCATTTGCATGAAACAGCACAATGAAAAACATATATTCTACTGAGAGCAGTGTCGCCTCTCCACAGACATGACCTGTAACAAACGTTTAACGCTCTGGAATATCCTAAAGGAAGCATCAGTACTGCCATGGAAACAAGCAGGTGAAGTACCCTTCACCAGAAAAGTTACATAGTGCCCCTATAATTATTGCTGCACGCCTGATGTCTGTTTAGAGAAGTAGAAGAGACAAATAAATATATACTTCCTTTTTTGAGCAATTAGATGTGGTAGTTAGCTTTTGTGTCACTTCCCGGGAAATAAAAATAATCTCAGCATCACAAAGAAATTTAGCATAAACAGAACCAGTAATAAAAAAGTATAAATGTATACAAGCAAATTACATAGCACAGCCTTGGAAGTATCTCTTGCACAGTGCCTTTATAATAGCTACCACAAATGAAATTTTAGAAAGACATAACAAGTGCCCTTTACACTGCCTACAACAAATGGAAAATCAATCAGAGAGAGGGTCAATACTTGTGAGGGGCTGGAGAAAACAGCAGGGAGAGGCCTAGTACCGTCCCGTGTGCAGATCAATACTGTCTATTCATATCAAGAGGAGTGTATGTCATTTTATTCGTCTCATCTGTCACACACTAAATCTAATCGTTCTTTTCAGCTCTCCTCTCCCCTGTCTTCACTGTGATTGAAATGCTGTCTCACGCTCCCCCAGTCTCCAACACTCACATCAATGACCAATCCTGACCACAGCATCGAGCAACACAAGTCAAGATAATTACACGTCCCCTCATCAAACTTTTAACAACACCGACAATCACAATATATCACACAAGCACTGAATATTAAACAGTGGCAGCATTTGCAGAAGGACAACTAGTGATGTATGTTATAATGATGTTTCCTCATCATAAACATTCTGTTCCACATTGTGATGTCATGTGGAAATAAAGGAAGTGCTCCACTGTATTTCAAACTCCAGACACTTTCACTAGAATGATTTGGTTGATTTAATCTTTGGAATTTCCAATCTCTATTGAACAACAGGTAAAAGGTACAGACGCTGTAAACTTTAAAACTACAGGTTCATGACAGCACAAGGTGGAACAGAGGATTTTGAGCTTTAGAGATGTAGACAAACTAGTAATAAGGGATTAATCAAACATGTGTGAATGAAATGAAGCACAACTCCAGGCATGTTTTTGAAGAGAAAACCTCAATCTAACAGGGCTAAAAGCTCACAGGAGTCAGTTTTGTTTAATGTAACCTGTAAATCCCAAGGTGTTTTATCTTTAGTGTTTATTCCAATCCGCTTTGCATCATTTCAGCTGATAATTATATGTTTTATTTTAGACCCCACTGCAGCAGAACATTTCCTTCTGAGATTTGCAGCGCATTAGACCACTGGGGCATTCTCAATAAGCAGTGTGCAGACTGCTAAAAAGGTTTGTGTGGGTTTTACCAATAAGTCAAAGCCGGCTGAGAAAATACAGCCACTTTGTGAAACTGATCTTTTTCTTTGCTGGAGTTGACATGGTTTGCATATTGTTTTGTCATTTATCAATTTATCCAGGCACTGGTTAATTCTGTTGTTTGCTGTCTGTCATTCAGTACATTTACATGCACAAAATACTCCAACACTTCCACATTAGGATTTCTCCAGACAATTGTTCAGACCTCTCTTGCCCCAGTCTACTATATGCAGGTCAAAAATCTGAATTACTGTGAACCGGCTATAATCAGAGAAAACCAAATATCTCCACAACTTAAATGTCATCAAAATGCCAAAAACTAGATTTTTTATGCAAAAGAAAATACTTTTTAATGAGCCTAATATTCTGGTAAACATAGTAACTGCCTGCAATGCCCCAAACCCCTCATTCTCCCCAAAAAACAACAACTTTAAACATTGTTATATAAAATAAGTTCTGAATATCTAGACATAAAGACTTTTTTTTCTCTACTTCATACAATATTATAACTTCTCAACAGGCTTTTATATACACATTTCTATTTATAAGTCCATAACCTTCACTATCTTTCTTTTCGGTCCCTGTTTGTGCTCCCTTGGGTGCAGTTATAGATGGACAGGCAGTTGGGCTAGGGTACTGCTGGGTAATTACATGTTTTCTTGCCACCAATGAACAGAATCAGTTTCTCACTACTCATTGAAGCCTAACTGAGTGTGAAACGTGAGGTCTTGTAAAGTGACACCTTGACAACCCATGATAAAACTACACTTTCGCAGTAGTCGCCATTATCCGAGCACTGGGGGATATCTGCAGGTTTTCCATCGCGGTGAAGCATGATGGTGTTCTTAATGAGATCACTGGCAGCTGTTGAGTCTCCCTCTCCTCCTGAGCAGTTCAGAATCATGCAAATGACTTTGCACAATGTCACATAAACACAGGCCCCTCCAGACTGCAGAAAGGTCAACAAGCTAACAGGGGCAACAAGAAAAGTTTAATGTTTTTCTGGACTTATTCAGAATTTTAAATGCAGCATCTTAACTTTACTGCAAGTCATCAAAGACATATGACTTGACAAGTAATGTTGAGGGAGCCATCAAAATTTATCAGAAAAAAAGATACAGCTTCTAATGTCTATTCCACCGTAGAAATGTATTGTTTTCTGATTAGTTTTGACATTGTGTTATCACAGAACTAAAATTTCAAACTCGGGTTTTGTCCTGTTTATCTGTTTCTTATTGTATTCATACATAGTATTGTATAGTACTGATACTAAAAGATAAGATTACAAACGATACTAGTTTCATTGTCAGTTAGTATCTTGGTTTTGATACTGGGTTTTGATACTTATGAAAGCCATATTTTGACACCAACATTATAAAAGCATCTACCTCCTGAACAAACCTGTAGAAATTGATATTAATTGAGCCTTTAAACATAGTGTAACAAAGAATATCTTGTATCTTTTATTCATTAAGTAAACTGAATAAAGTAAAAAATAAAATTAAACTATAAAAAACAAAACAAATTAAACCAAAATTACTATTACAAACTTATTATAGAATATAGACAGTCCATATCTGTTAATAATATGTATGATCCTCATTGCATCATTCATAGCAGACACTGTACAGTGGGACTTTTTCACATTTCCATATCTGTCCACCCGAGGTCATTGAAAACCACAATAATATTTTATGTTTATGTTGATCTAACCATAACACTACACTTGTCCTGGAGGGTCTGTTCATAATATACCAATGTTTTGTTTTTGTTTGTTTTTTTAATGAAACTACAATACGACTTTTGGTCTTTCACTGGAAGGATAATACAGTATGCAAATCAAATGGCCCATTTCGACCTTACATCCCACGCTATGAGACATAGTTTTTGCTTTCACACTTAAGGCCTGGAATAAAAATAATAACAAAAAAACACAATCTAAAAACACAATGATATGTTTTGACGTCCCCTGGAGCCCTTTTCACACCTCTCTCTCTTTTTTAACAACAGCAACAAGCCTGTAAAAATCCTAGCAATGGCAGTAAGTAAACTCTATAGCAGCCTTGTCTAACCAGAATAATTCGATGAGAGATAAAACAACTAACTATTAACTGTAACCTCCCAAGAAAAGAATTTGCATAGTTATTTCTATTAATGTTTAGCTGTGAACAGACAAGGAAATACAGAGCAAGGCAATGGAGAGTTTCAACAAAGTGCAAATTGTGTTGGGTTGTGAGTGTTTGTGCCAACAGCTATTCAACATCACATCAACACAGAATGATGGGAGGGGACCACTGTGGCTATGGTGCCATTTGATCAGTGCTTTTTCAGTTTTGGGGCATGAACCTAGGGAAAATACAAAATCTGGCAGCTCTGTAGAGAGGAAAGTCCGATATATTTGCTGTAACTAAGATGGTCTGGGATAAATAGGATTGCAGGTATGTGATATGTGTGCGTGACCATGCATGTGCCCCCAAGCCTCATGTCATCATGTATTACACAGTGGTGGTTGTCAGGGCCAATGGGACTGTGCTGCTTATGCTTGTCTGATCATATCTGCCATTATTGCACCACTTAATGTTCCATACTGTACACTGGTAACCATCTCAAGGGTCTAATGCATATCCTAGTCCCATGCCCAATAATATAGAGAGGCTTGCATCAGGTCGGGCATCTGGTCCAATGAAACCACTTTAAATAAAAAATCAGTCTGAACTTTATGATAATATCAAGTCAGAATCTGCATAGCCTACTATCCACAAACGAATTAAAAACTAAACGTGAATCATGTGGTTTGATTTGAGACAATGGTCACCGAGTCACTCAACCATAAATGAAATGGGCCGTTATAATGCCTACCCATAATGAATTATATTATGTATGATGCATGACATTGAGATGGCCATAACTTTGTTTATGAGCAAAAATCAATATAGGGCCAACTATAGTCATGGCATTCAAATACATTATATAAGGTGGCAAACGTCCATAGTCTATATAGCAAGTGAACTTCATTGCCTTAGATCACTTATGTTGCTGTAATACTCTCTCACAACAGCATGGTACAATCAGTAGGCTAAACATGACAACAATGTTCTACTATCTATAGGAACGTGTTATATGAGGCAACAAGTCTGCTCCTCTTCGCTGTCATCGCTGCTCTATGCGACCACTGAGTCTGCCGCAGTACACTCCGCAAAGTTTACGTCTCTCCCCGTGTTCACTCATCTTCCCTCCAAATTCACAGCCCACTCCCCCAACACCAAAAATCAAACAATCCAATGAGAAAGCAAACTTAACTTAGTCGATACGAAGGACTGACTTACCGGCGATTCAAAACGCACCATTCAAAGATCCAGCATGAACAGAGAGAAGTGTATGGGTTTATCCAGTGCGCGTGTTGCGTTGAAGCTTCGTTGCCTGCGTTTAGACCCACGTCAAAGTGATGTGCGAGCGCGTGGTGCGTCCATGGACAGGCCCGTGGGTCGTGGTCCAGTCCGCGCACATTTACACCACCGGAGAGAGAGGAGACACCGCCGTTTGGTCTGCAACACTACTGTGTGAGCAAGGGAGCCAGGACACTGAGGGGAGGAGGCGGAGGCAGAGTGGGGTGGGGCATTGTGGGAAATGGAGTTCAGTTGAATTCATGCTACATGGGTATTATTATGATGATGTTTTCTTATGAATTCATTAAGAATGAATGGGCTGGGGTATTGAAATTGCTTATTGCAAATGGTAGTCTAAATCTTTCTCTATCAATGTATTTGTTTTGGTTTCATAAATAAATAAATATATAAATAAATAAACCACAAAAATTTTAGTTATAATGCCTATAGTTATAAAATGAAAGAAAATAATATTAATAAACAAAAAAAATAATAATAATAAAAAATCTGAATAAGTTACAGAAAATAATTTTGTCTAGAGCTCTTTATTTGAGTAGTTGTCTGTTAATTTATTTATTTATTTATTCATCTTTCTTTCTATCAATCTATTTATCTATTTCTATCAATCTAGCTATCTTAATAAAATGTCAACTGTATTATTGTGATGAACTCTGTCTACTACTATCTTCTCGGTTGACCTTAAAGTACCAGCATTCCTCAAAATATTTTCCAACTCATTAAAATAACTGTTCCTTTAGTGCTCCAGGAGATATTTTCATCCAGATTTTGCAGAAATTAGTCACTGCTTCCAATGTATTTTATCCAATAGTCCATTCTCTTGCCCTACACCTCCATGCAGCCCCCGTCCAGCATACTTGAGTTCCTTATAGTTGTCTCGAGAGGAAATACCTTTCTCCTGGACCAGAAGCCGTAGCCTACTTTAAGTCCAGTCCGGATCCGGTGGGTGTTCACAGTCATTCTCAGGATGTTTTCAACTCTCTCTGGAGTAGCTACAGATAAATTTGGATACTGGTCTAGTACGCATATTATTGTCACACTTGTATTGGCTGCTACTCGAGTGTGAACGCTTCAAACAATAAAATAGCAAAGACATTTTTACTGATGAATATATTTGTATATACCTACTGTAATATATAATGTAATATATTTTGTAGGTTAATATATGGTTCAAGGTGTTTCCCACGATGCTCAGACATAGCCAGCAATAAGGTTATGCCAGTTGTGTTACTACGGTGACTAACAAAAAGTAAGATAATTTCAAAACAATCAGAAACAGCTCTTTTGCTGATACCATGTTACATTGTAAAGTAAAACCCACAATATATTTTTTTTACTTTGTTTTATCAGATGTTGGGTTAAAAGGTGAGAGAATGTGCTGTGGTGACTTTTTGTGTACTCTAGACTATAGTTTAACCCAAGCCAATATACAATACATGGGCAGGTTTTTATTTATCCAATATAATGGTTAAATATGTGTGATGTTGATGGGTGGAAAAGCTGGTGCCTCTCAGTTGCCTCGTGTCTATATTTAGACCTCTGCCTTGCCACTGTTACTGTCAAAGGCTGGGTCCACACTTCAGGAAAAACTTGAGAAAAGCCTGTATACAGCTTGGTATAGTAGGGCGTACTGAGAATAACTTTTGTTTTTTGACCACACTGCTAAAAATAACATGTACAAGGGTCAGGGAAGTTCACACACAAACAAACACACACAATGTTAGTTTTCCAAGCTTTTCTGGGACACTACATTGACTTGGATTCATTTCCTTGAGATCTTTAACCTTAACCATAGTTTGTTGCTTGTCTAACTTTAACCTATTTTATCCCACATCTTAACTTAAAATCATGTTTTTGAGCAAATTATACAGGATTTCATCATGGGGAACTGGCTTTGTCTTTATAAGGGAAGCAAATCTTTATGATATAATACTTGCACACATAGCACTTGTACACAGTTCATGAAAAGAGGAAGTTTTGTATCTGAGAGGGTGTTAAAATATAATAGCTTCATATAAAATTAAATGAAAGATGAATTGTCAGTGTTATGGTATGAGTCAAACAGGTGGCATTAGCAGAACTGCAAATTTTGAAAACAACGAAAGACCAATATCAGTCAAGTTTAGTCTTGATTAAGTTGTGAGTGAAAATCCAACTTTGGAATGGGCTCCTGTTGTTTACGATAGGATATACATCAAACCAGTGTGGTCTTTGTTGTGCTTTTTAGTATAACCTTACATCGTTTGGATGCCTTGGCTCATCCTTATGCAATTTAACTACATATATCAAGCCAGTCCTAATAAACTGTGTAGATGAAGTGAAAGACAGTGAATGGTATGCCTATCTCCCATTATTTTTATTTTTTTTTAGTACAATCTAAACAGGATTTCTTTGATTCTGGCATGTTTTCATAGTACCTCTGAAAACTGAGATGATGCAGTATAGATACTTGTTGTTAATTACTACTATACATTTATGTCATTTGTATTTAGTATAGTCAAATTGAAGAGTCCACATTCAAATTGTACACCTAATTGCATTGACCGACCTTTGACCCCTCTCATTTGCTGAGTGCAGGTCTGGTGCTGTTGTCTATTTGATTACGAGACGTGTGGGTTTGATGGTGTGTTTGGAGAGTAGCACCTCCTTTATTGACTCAGGATGACAGGACCGCACTCATCTCATCTTTATGTAATCACGAGGCAGAGGCTGTTTGTCAGATGATGGCAGTGCAGTGTCACAGCTGGTTTCCTGGAGTCGTTTCTGTAATGAGGAAAGACATGATGACACAGGGATGTTTAAGCAGCACATGCAAACTGACTGAGTAATTATTACCGTTAAAAACTAAACATAACACCACATTCTGGGCTGCACAGGCTAGAGGGTTGTTGCAGCAGTGAATGTTAAATATGTGTGTTATTGTAGGTGAATATAATCATCATAAAGTGTGCATTTGTTAAGGGCTCAGTTTGTTATGTAGGTTATTAGAAAGATGAAAGGACAATGCCAGGTATTTAGATAGTTATGAAATAAATAATAAGCATTGCTTTCTCAATCAATTGTCAGCTATATATCTAACCATATAGGTCATATATCTTGCGGACAGCTAGAGCAGATGTTGCCAATCTACTAAAGGTCATTAAAGGCCTCTCTTACCACCATCAATAGCTCACTCACATGCCTTATTCACACCGTAGTCAAGGTACATAGATTGTGTCTTTCCCAATGAAACAACAACAGTACGAACTGGTCAGAACTCCATGAGATGAAACAACTTTTAAATTGCCATTTTTGTTTTAAGATTTTTTAAGTTTTAGGGTTCATATCCACAATGACATTGAAGTCTAGTTCACCTATTTTAATGGTGATTAAAACATGTCTTATGTGTAACCTAAATCCTCTTGCTCCCTCTAGTGGTCTGCCTCCAAACCCACAAAGCCCATCAAACTGAGTCTAAATTCTAAATGTTGGAGAGCATCTCACTCAAAATGTCTGCTACTAATTACGGCATCCTAGGAGTGCTACTGCAAAAATATTAAAATGTACTTATTAAATTTTATAGACTTTTATTTGTTTAAATCCAATCCTACTTTTACTTCAGTTAGCTAATACAATTGGCTATACAAGTAAAAAGGAATAAATGAAAAAATACAAAATAAAAACCTGTATAATGACACTAGAATGATCTGTTTATAAGTCAAATTGACCATGTCGGTGGATGGGCGGGGCTTTATCTACCTGGCAGTGACTTTCACATTTTGATTGGCTCAGATCACCAGGCCGTGGCCCACGCCGTGGATTTAAAAGCGTGTCCCTGGCTTCACTGGGCGTCAGGTTGGTTTATTCGCTCTGGAAGTGTCAGAGAATAACACGCTGAGGTTGCAAAGATGATCGAGCAGTTTGTTGGCACTTGGAGGCTGGATAGCAGCGAGAACTTTGACAACTACATGAAAGCAGTCGGTAAGGCCTACTGTTCAGTCATTGTGTATTTGGTCATCATTATTCCTCTGAATTGCACTTTTCGATCCCAGGTGTGTGCTTGGCAACCCGGCAGATGGGCAACCTGGTCAAACCCAATTTTATAGTGTCCGTAGACGACCAGGGACTTATAAGCATGAAATCTCAAAGCACGTTTAAAACTACTGAAATAAAGTTCAGACTCGACGAGGAATTTGATGAAACCACCGCAGACGACAGGAAAACGAAGGTTGGCCATTTATACTCCAAGTGCTTTGAAATGATGGCTTTTTAAAAAATATATATATATAATAATGGGCTTTCTGGTTAATTATGTTATGTGTCCATTGCAGACTGTGATAACAATGGAAAATGGTAAACTTATCCAGACACAGAAATGGAAGGGCAAAGAAACCAGTATAGAGCGGGAGATCACAGATGGGAAAATGACTGTAGTAAGTTTTATTCTGATTTTTACTTTGTACAGTCTCACCTTGGAAGAAGCCTAGCGTTTAGTCTGTTCTGTACATTCTTTTCTTTCTACAGAAATGCATTATAGGAGACGTGGTCGCAATGAGGACATATGTAAAGGCATAAACCCCTTGGATACTGTTGTTCCGTTGCTGGATGACTCACTGAAATAAGTCTATATAAACTTCCAACTTCAACAGTTGGACAAGTCTTCACATGTATAGGGGTGAGAATCTCTGTAGGCAAACCTGTGCAAAACCGTCATGCCCATTTTTCAACTTGAATGTGTTGTGACTTGAATAAATATTCAGTTTCTGGTATTTCTGGTTCTTTGTTTTTGAACTATCTTTGACTAAAACATGCACTAATGAAGCACTCTTGTATAGCATAGTAGTATCTGGTCGGTCTCTAAATACAAATGGTAACACATGGCTGTTTGGGCTACACGCTACTAGACCAAACTTCAAAGCTGCAATTGGTAATATTCCACGGGACTGCTGGAAAATGCACATTTCAAATGCATCCTCCCTTCAAATGTACATTTGTGCGCGTTTGAAGGGAGGATTCAAGACTTTTTCTGTAAACCTCAGCTGTTAACTTCATGCACCCAGAAATTACGTTAATTTCACTGAAGGCTTCCTATTAGTTTAAAGCCATAGTACTTCATTTTGCTTTTTCTGAAACTTTAAAAACCTCACCCCGAGCGGGCTTGCATCAAGTAATTTTGCCACGACTAGGGTCTCCTTGTTTATGGAAATGTTCTTGCACATTATGGCACAAAACTTGTATGTATGGTTTTAACTTTAAATTTCCATGGAATCATGCAGATGACCTGCAGGATACATACTGTATCTTGTTAAATAATTGCGCCAAGCCTATCAAACACTAATAGGTCTATGAATATAATGGGTGATTTCTGTTCTGTGCATAATCTGTCCTCCATTTGGTTAGCATTTTACCAACGATGCATTAAAATTTTGCTGGCATGGAGCTGTCACTGGAAGGCGTGGAGACGTGTAGGTGGTGTCATGGGAGGGCCACTAAAAGGGAGAGGATTTGGAGGTTTGTTTGCACATAATATCAAATTCATATATGCATATATTTCTTTTTTTTTTTTTTTTTTTTTCCAAAAGAGGAAGAGGAGAAAGCGCTTCTTTTTTCTTGTGTTGTGCAGCTGTTCCATTAGCCATCTCTTTAGACCAAAGCTGGACAATGGCTAGAGATTGAAATGAAATGAGTTTGGAGACTCACTACAAAGCAAGGTAGCTAGGCGTTGGAAAATAATACCATAAAATCTATAACACACTGACCTACTGTAAGTTAAGTCAGCTTACACATGTTCCCTATCCTCTGGCGCCCTCTGGTGGCCTATTTTTAAACACGATAAACTCCGCTGCTGAGGTAAAAGGTCACGGCAGAAAAACATGGCGGCGACCAGAAAGTCTACCGTGGTGCTGAAGGCTGTGAAGAAAATAGCCGTCCAGTTTTGTCCTTTCGAGTCCAATGTTCGGTCCACACGGTAAGATGCGAGCGTCAGTGTCCAGGGAATGTGAACTAGACCTGATCTGAGGCCAAATAGGTCGCAATGATCGTATTTTACCCGATAGGCTCGAGATGTGCAGCGGATTATCATCGCTCATTAAAAGATTTAATTCATTACATTTATGTTGTTGTTGGTCATGTAACGTGAGAGTTGAGCCTGATAACACGGCCAGTACAATTAAGGTCCATTATATAACTTTTCTGGCAGGAGTTCCGCTCGCTGCTAGTCGCCATGATGATAATACTTTGCCTAAAATGTTCCACAGTATGGTATTAATCTTATCTATTCAGCTTTTTCATCACTGATGTTATAATTGCTCAAAAACATGCAGTTTTACTGTGAGACGGGTCACCTGCAATAGACTTGACCTGGAAGCGTCACCTTCTTCTCTCCATGGAGATAGATGTGTGTAAGGCATAGACCATAATGTGGAACATTTTAATCGAATAACATTTCCACAAAGACAAGCAAGTTGCATATCCACTATCAGAAAAGTTACATAGTGCAACTTTAGGAATTCTGACAAAGCTGATGTTGGTATATCTCAGCATCAGCAGACAACTTTTTTCATTTCAATATAGTTGTCTAAGATAAGAAAGTGCATGCATTCTACTGGTGTATCTGTTCGATTCTAGGCTACTTGACATTATGTAGTTGCTGGATTAAAAGTGACTAAGCTTTTGTCTTTGTTTTACCCAGGGAGTTCCTGGCCCTGGTGGGCTCAGAGAAAGTCCGAGCAACCAACCTTAACTGTGAGGTCACTTCTGTTGCAAAACATGACAAGTCTGAACCAGTGGTGGATATCACATATGGTAGGTAAACTAGCAGCCAATCAGAAGGTGTCATCCTTCTTTTTCCAGGACTGGTTCAATCTTGGTCATGTCTACACTTTTTATGCAATCAAGACATCTCTTCTCCCATCTAGAAGCCATTTTCAATTGATTGAACTGGCTTGAAACACAAGGAATTTATCGTACTGAGTTACTAAATCCAATCCCCAAAGGGTAGTTTTACAGTGCAACTGCTCTGCCAGTTTGCTAGCTAACATCAGTATGGGTCGTTATGCCTCTATTGTGTGTTGACTGTCTCACCTTCAGTTGTACCCTAGAAAATTTCGGAGGTGCATGTCGGTCGACACAGATGCTCTGCGGAGGCTCTGTGGAGGGGGTTCAAGGTGATGCAGACTATTTGACACACAACCATAAATTGGGCTCTTGATTGAAACCACCCCTTGCAGCATAAACTGGGAAATACTAGGATTCTCCAATACAGGAAAAGGAAAAGGCAGAGAAACATGTCCAAAATGCACTCTCAGCCAGTGACTACCCTGCATGGGCTGTCAACAGGGTCAAAAGAGCCAAAAAGCAGGACCAAAGGGAATCAGAGCCCAGGAGGAATGGGGTGTCTATCCCATATGACTGGGTCTGTCTGAAGAATGACAAAGAATCACAACATTCCTTTGTCTGTTAGTAGAGACCATGTCTACATAGAAGACATAATCTGGGGGTGTAATCAGGGGTCCACCTTCATCTTAAAACCACAAATCACTCATTTGACAGTGATGTACAGAGTTTAAACAAAGCAAAATTGGTTTGCAAGGGGAGTAAACGAAGCTATTTTTGTAACAAAAGCGAATCCCTCTTTGAAGAGGAATGGTGGACTCCGATCTCTCTACATTACTAGCCAATCAGTTGCATAGGACTATTTCATTCATGTTTGCACATTTTCACAATCTGTCATTCAGGTGTTCAGAGTTCATGTGCTGTCATCGTTGCCATCTCGAGCAATGGCATTGCCCATAACTGCTCAGGGCACGACTGGAGTAAATGCTTAAATATACTGAAATGCTGAAATTGTAAAACTGTTGTGTGGTGGAGTGTAAATATAAAGACATGGAAACCCTACCTGGAGTTATTCTTATTGCCAGTGCCACTAAAGTATGACTAGTGGAAGTTTTAACTGCATTAACTATTTTGGCACTGTTCAGTTTAGCAGCATTTGTACACTGAACTAAACAGAGCCAAATTAACATGAACACATCCTCCTTACAATAATTTCTGTGGGTGAGGTTTCCCCACCCCACTTTAACAACTGTGCACTTTAGATAGAAAAATAATTTCTTCACCATATTTTCTGACCTCTTTACCTTACATTTATATTGGCATTTAATTCCGAAAGTTTGATATCTGAAACTGACACAGAGGGTATTTTTTATATGTATGTTTGTTTTCAGTAATGTTTCCAACATTGTTTGTTTATGTGACTAATATGAATGAGATGTGGCCGGTCATGGTGTTAATAACTGTGGGACGGAGTTCACTGGAGCTCTCTGTCGGAGCATCCTGTGTACCCCTCCTTTGACCTGTTACCCAGATGAGTCATGACTTGGTGTGCTTTTGCCTTTTTGCCTGGACTGCATTGAGACCTTTTACACAGTGGTGACTAAGAAGCTCAGTACGTTGCTGCAACTAAAGTTGAATTTTCCAGTGGATCAATAAAGTATCTATCTTTTATTTTTAACAGTGGATGGAGAGAAGTTGGTGATGAAAGGAGCCAAACTGACCAGCCAGGAGATGTTCAGTGCTTTTCAGTCTCGCTGCATTGCCAAGGATCCACAGGGAAAAGTCTCAGGCAAAAAATGATATTTATTTTCTGTGTTGAGAAGTATGTACTGTACAGCCTATTTATGTGTAGATATTGGTAATGTTTATAATAAATGATCTAAAATTCTGTTTGTGTTGTTTGTTCAGTTTCCTTTTAATGATGAATAAAACTTTAAATTGCACAATAGGCAAGACAAGTTTATTTGCATAGCACAACTGATACACAAAGTAATTCCAAGTGCTTCACAGAATAAGAAAGACATTAAAATCACAATGCAAACAAATCATAATTAAGCATCATAAAATTTACATACAAGAGAAGAGAATAAAAACCTTTCAGTCATATGCAAAACTAAACAGATCCATTTTGAGCCTGGATTTAAACACAGTCATAGTAGAGGTCTGTTTCACTATATTATTTGTTTCATTGATATATTCACACCATCAACAACTGATAAAATATTACCCTGATCTTTAACATGGCATAAATACAGAAAAACTCAGAATCAGCTCTATTAAGCTAATAAAAGAGAATAGTTAAATGTAATGTGAGCAGAAACATCGGTGGGTGGTAGCAGCACCTGGGGGCGGGACTTTTTGAAGCATATAATGACATTTCACATTTTGATTGGTTCAGGCCGCATGGCTGTGGCTCACGCCGTGGCTTTAAAAGCGCACTGAGTCGCGCCCTCAGTAAAAGAAAGTTTGGACCAGTTTCTCTGCAGGTGTTTGAGGAGAACACGCTGAGGTTGCAAAGATGGTCGAGCAGTTTGTTGGGACTTGGAAGATGGTTACCAGTGAGAACTTTGACGACTACATGAAGGCAATCGGTAAGGCGCAATTTTGTTTTTATTGGCACTGTTATGAAATGGCCAAGCTACTATGCACAACGTATTTTGTTACTAAATAGAACAGTTTTATTTGTCTCATTTTTTAGGCTTTGTGATCAACCGAATGCAAAGCTTGATTTCTCTCGGCTAATTGTATTTTGTTCTAGGTGTGGGATTTGCAACTCGGCAGGTTGGCAATCGGACCAAGCCTAATTTGATAGTATCTGTGGACGACCAAGGAGTTGTATGCTTGAAATCTCAAAGCACATTTAAAACTACTGAAATTAAGTTCAAACTCAACGAGCAATTTGACGAAACCACCGCAGATGATAGGAAGACCAAGGTTTGTTATTTGCACTACAGAAAAAAAAAAAATAAAAAAAAAAAATATCTTTTATGCACATGTATCATTTTGCAGACCGTAATGACCCTGGAAAATGGTAAACTTATCCAGAAACAGACCTGGGATGGCAAAGAGACCAGTATAGAGCGTGAGATTACTGATGGGAAATTAATAGCGGTACGTTGTTTTTTTTTTTTTTAAGTTTATTGTTTACTGGGCTACATATGTGCAAATATTAGATGCAGCATTTAATATTATCTATATAATTCATTTTTGCAAGTTTTTTAACTGTTAATGAATCATGAGTTAATGAGTCATTCTCTCTGTTCTTTCTGCAGAAATGCATTATGGGAGACGTGGTCGCAGTGAGGACATACGTGAAGGATGCATAAGACCCTTCGACAGTGTTCCATTGATTGATGACGACAAGCTCAGTTCAATGAGCCTAAATTTACTTCAAATTCAGCAGTTTGTTACATGTCCTTCCTTGTTAAACACTTCCCTTACACCTGCTGTGCCCCTGTTTTCCATATTGAATGCGTTTGTGGTGATTTGAATAAAAAAAACTTTGAATTTATGGTATGTTTCTGGTTTCTTGAGGCAAGTCTAACTTTAGGCTTGCATAATGGCAACGGAGTGTTCTTGTAATCTTGGAATGTTGAGCGTTTCCAATATTCCTGGCTCCATGACTTGAGGTCAGTAAGGAAATGTCCCCTGTTTCCTTTTTTGGGAGGCAGAACATTTCCCATTAACTGTAAAGGCAGCTGTGAGGAGGAGAAACCCCAGAGCATCATGGGCTGTTGCTAATATGACCCACGCCTTTTGGCCACTGTTCAAGAGATTTGGAGATTGTTTTACAGTAGAACAGTAACTAGTAATGACAGGAAAGACTTGCATTGATTAGGTTTGATGGTCAAAACAGCTTAAGTGTGTACATCTTCAGCATTTGCCAAATTAGAAAAAGGACAAAAAAAACTGCATGATTTTTTTTCCCTAAAGCATTTGTACTATTGTAGCTGTAGTCCTGAGTGAGTGCTGGGATGACGCCCAGTTCTCACAGCCCCAGAGTAGAGTTCACATCTGCAGTAGATAGACTTACAGGTGCAGTGCTTGTGTACCTCAGGGGGCTGTTTGAACAACAGTGGGAGATGAGCTTGTTTTTATGGTGGAAATTGAATACTGAACTCAACAGCCTCAAAAGATGGTAACATGGCTTTTTAACCTGTGTCCAGTTCATAATAAAAATACATGAACCACAACCAAAAGGACTGATAATATAACAGCGCTAACAATATAATAAAAATTGCACATTTTACTGATTTGTACAAGTAAATAAAATGGTGGGGTAAATGAGATACAGTGCAAAGATGAACATTTAGTTTTAACATGTTATATGTTGTTGTACACTTGTATGGAGTGGTAAGTTTCACTGTGGGAGCCCATAATGGAGAGCTATTTGTCTAGTGTCCTCTTGTCCTTCACTGGACTATGAGGTTTGATAAATATATGCAGCTGTCAAAGTAATCTATATGCACTCTTTGAAGCAGTAAAGGCTTGCAGCAGAATTCTGTTCCCACATGCAGACTTTTTTTTACTTAAATATTTTTATCTTAAGTAGGCCATTGCTATAGCATCATAGCAATGCAAGAAAAAAAGCAAGGCAGTGAGAAATACAGAGACACTGACAAAAACCATAACATTAAATAGTAGTGGTAGTATCCAAACAAGTGTCTTGTGTAAATAAAGCATTTGGCTGTAGGTTATCTTGTTGACTTGGAGCCAGTTTCTTTGTCCTCACAGATTATCCTAGCCCTATGGGAATGGGTCTACATCCTTTGCATAACATCTGGAAAGGTCCACTAGAGTTTCTGAAGCTGACACCCTTCCTCCCCTTGTCCTCAGATTCAACCCAGTGACTAACAGTAACAGTTCAAGGACACTGATGTAGAGATACACTATTATAAGAAACTCACATATCTTCTGTCTTTATTGTGAGTGACTTAATTGGCAAAATTTCAATCCTGTTTCCAAGTCATGATTTAATGAATTATTTTTAAGTCACAAGTCTTGATGAAGAAGATAACAGAAATTGTAATTAATTCTAAATCAATGGGAAATTAATATACAAACAATTGCACATTAAAATGCAGATGTAATGTGGCAATTTATATTGATCATATCAATGTTTTTTGTACAGTGCTTTTGAGGCAAGTCAGAATGGGAACTCAGGACACTGGTAAAAGGAAGTCTCTCCAAAAGACACTTAATAAGCAATAAATGCAATAGAAAAGCCAATATCTATATTTGGTATTGCAACACGACAATTATATTTCTGTTTATTTACCACAAATCTATCTTGTGTGTTGCAGCTATCAATGTAACTATCATAGTGCAAAGTGCTGTCATAATAACATGTTATATTGTGTGAACACCATTGTACCAAAACAGCAACTTTTTCTGTGTAGTCTAACTTTCTCTTTTGCACTATCTTAGCACATTCTCACATTCTTCAGCTCAGTCCTCTCCACAGGACTCTCACCTCATCCACTGACCCAGATCCCATGACGACCACACAGCTGGACTGAACTATGTCTGCTATGGCTGCACTGAATAGCGTGACAAATGTGTTGCCCATGGCAACGCACTATGCTTCTCAAAGTTCCCAAATTCATTTTTTCTATAGGCCTAGCTGAATGGTTGTTGGGTTAGATGAATACAGCTGCCTTGCTGTGCCCCTGTGTGACCCTCACTATCTCCACAAAGTAGGTAAACATGTCTGAGATTCCAGCAAAGGACCCTGCTCTCTACCACTGATAATAGAATGTGAATTTATTATAGTTGATCCTAATCTCCATCTCTGTTCTTTCAAAAAAGAAATGTTGTCAATATGTCCTGATGTGAACTGTTACCCCTATAGCTCCTCCACATTCTGGGAAATATATTTATTTAACACTTGTTATTAGGTCCACTTGTTGAAGAATGCTAATTACTGTTTGAGTATGAACTAAGTATATAAAAATATATATAGTTGATTTAGTAAGTGTCTTTTGCCATATCTCCAAATGGTCAACCTATGAATATAAAGGTGATATGAATTGTATTATAATAAATAATATTAAATTCAGTCTACAGATGCATAGGATGAAGTAATAATATTGGCATTGTTTTCTCAGTCTGAATACTTTGTCTGCTTAAAGTGCTCTTCAGAAATGTGTCCTGTACATAAGGACATGCCTTATAACTTTGAGGACATGACAAAGGACTGCTGTTTTGTTTCTCATCAGGGGTTCAACTTCCAGCCAAATGCAGCCTGTGTGACTGTATAGCTGAGGAAGTATGTGGGCCTTTAAAGTGTGCCTATACAAACTGACCACACAATAGTGGACAGGACACCCAAGGGAGCACAAAGAAGAGCTATGTTTTGGCTCCTGTTTGTGATCTACTTTTGCAGCAACTTGTCATGTGATCTCATCTTTGTGACTATAATCTTAATGTGCACAAAATAAAACCTTTTCTAATGAATTCAGTAACACAGCAGAATATAGAGAGGCTTATTCTCACAAATGAACTGTGCAATTTCTAACAATAATCCAATGGTACAAATAGTTATAGGCCAGGGAAAACTATGACTAGCTTTGGTGTTGGTAGGTTTTACAGCAGTTAGAGAGAGTTCCCCCTCTCTTGAAGGTTGTCAGTCTGGGTCACACTTAGATGTTTAATCATTCAGTCATAATAATTTCCTTATCTATACGTTAGTCCTATTGTATACATGAGAAGCTGTTGTTGTATTTCATCACCTGCTGCTGCAAATGTTTTTTGGAAATAACTCAAGGAAACTTTTCTTTAGAAGTAACAATGGATGTCTCGGGGCAGGCACTTCCCCATAATGCAATGGGGAGATAAGAGCCGCGTCTTACAAGTTAAGGAAGCAATCTCTCATAGTATGACATTTCTGCAAGTGACTTGTAAACAGGCCACAGGGACGTGATGCAGGGAGGTTTGATCTAATGCAGTGCAATATAATTCATGGCACAAAGTGACATGCAGTGTTATGTAAATGATCACATTTATATAGCACTTTTCTACCTTCAAGGCACTCAAAGAGCTTAAAGTTTAAAAGTGTAATATGATTTGAAATAGAGTTTAGGGGTGTCTTACTTTTGAATAGTGTTACAGCTATGTGAATGAACAAATATAGAAACTTAAGGAGGTGGGTCAAAGGCTGTACTTCCCTCTGCTGCCTCAGCAAATACACAGTCTCCTGACTACAACTGTTAAAATGCAGTTTATCATTATTCAGTGAAACAAGTGAATACTTCAATAAGAACAGTTTAACATCTAAAATGTATTCATACTTTATACCACTCCATCCTTGTACAATATGTTCTCCTAGTTAGGTTATTGTGGTTTAGGGAGTATATACTGTAAGTTAACCTAAAAAGTTGTATTTGTGCAGATCTTTTGCAGTCTGCTCTTTGTCTGGATTAAGGCCAAAGCACACACACACCACATGACTGCTGCGACCTAGGACATCCGGGACCCCTTTACCCATTTACACTTTCTTTGTTCACTTCTTTAAATTACTGCTCACTATGGTGACTGCACCTTAACCCCTGTCTGGACAAAAGGATTAGCCTCCTAGAGTATGGTGGTACAGGGCAACATGCCAGCACAAATATGCACTAATGAAGCTCCATGTCTAGAGACCTAACCTTGAGTTCAAATATTATTGACGCTGGCCCATCACTGACACACATTTTAGATCTTTTAGGGTAAATATGATGTCACAATCTATAATCTTGTTTTAATTAAAATGTCAAGGTTCAAAACACATATTTCTGCATCTAGTATCAACCCATAAGGACTACAAGAATGCAAATTTTGTACTGTAAATGTCTGATTGTGTAATGGTTGACCTTGTTCTCAGTGTGTATGTCTAGCAGCATGGCACACATCCTGCAAAGACACAGCAATCCCTTTCCCTGAAGACAAATAAGGATGCATTTGGGTTAGCAAACATGTTGTAAACATTCAATAGCAAGCACAAAAGACATATTGTACTTTCATTCCTACAATAAAGGAACATATATACATCTCCTACACACACCTTATTGTCATGATAATAAACTTTTTCCTAACTAGTGTCAAAAACTATGAAAAATGTATTTGATTAGGGGTGGATGATATGACAAAAAATGAATATGACTATTTTCTAGAGACAGATTATGATTTATAATTGATCACAATTCATGTACACTATAAGTATCTTTTCATTGCCTTTGCTCAGAAGGACTCAGCCTTAATATGCAGGATATATGTGTTAAACATGTTTTTGGCAGATTTGAATTGAGCAGACTCAGATCATTAACCACGCACTGATCAGATAAGACCATAACTTCATCTTTCCTAAATTAATATGCCGAGTTATTTTAGTATCACTGAGTAACTGCAGTAACATCTTTGACCCCCAGACACAGATCTCTAGCTCTAATCCCTCCAGGTTGGTGGGTTGCACAGGGGTCAGCATTTGCCGGACACCGCTTTTATTATGACCCGATTACTTTTGGGCACAGTCATCGTATGGCCTCTGTGCACAGGGATAACACGCATTGGGGTGCGCTTCACTGCCCCCATTCACTGAGACAGGCACAATCATTTGGGACTGGCAGAGCTAACACCTAACCAGAGAAGTCCAGGCCAGCACAGTCAGCAAATGCTACCATTTAATTGAAGGTCAAACGAGACAGAATGCAGTAATGAAGGTGCAGGGCATATATACATATATATATATATATATATATATATATATAGAGAGAGAGAGAGAGAGAGAGAGAGAGAGAGAGAGAGAGAGAGAGAGAGAGAGAGAGAGAGAGAGAGAGAGAGAGAGAGAGAGGTGTAATTCTAGATATTGTGAAAAGAGAGCTGTAAAGTATTTTCTAGAGTGATTGGATTCTGTTTTTCAGACTTCATATTTTCTGTTACTGCCAGGCCTTACAGCATTCTTTTACCCAGTCATTGTCAGTCTAGCCTTTGACCTGATCTCCAAAATATGTTCTTATTCATCCTGGTAGACATGGCCTCACTTTATGACATAAAATCTCTACTTGTTAGTGCTAGGCTGCTTTTCATTTGGAACTAAACAGTTATAGTTTACTGCCCTCTGGCGGTGATAAAATCCAAAACCTGGGCAAAGTCAGCACTTTATAATCACATGAAATGTAATAAAGATGTAAGATGCAGAGTGCACTGCGTAACTTATAAAGTTGCTGCTTGTAATGTTCCGCAGTAGGACTTTTAACATAGGCTATCTATCCCATGGATTTGGGGTATTTCAAGGTAGGCCGACTTTAGACCCTCACCTGGCTTTTCTTCATTCTCACCTGCTTTCTGCTCCTCTTCTGTCAAGCCAAAGCTGCTACACTGTCAGACAGCTGGAACCTAAAGACCATCTAGTGGTGGTTTAAGAGAATACAATAGATCTCACAACATGGTGGCAGCAGATGGTGGCTTTGAGTATTCATATTATCTTGAAATCAGTAGCTATCTGATGCAGTTTTGAATAGTATTAAAATATTATAACTAGGCCTATTGGAAATGTATTTTCTAATTGATTTGCATAACATTGTGTTGATCATTATTTACACAACTTCTTTACAATGTCACGTGTTTCATGAGTAACTATGACAACACCACGAGACCGGAAGCCCTTGTATTTACAATTAGCGTTAGCTCCGTGTGGGAGTGGAAGTGCGCGGCAAGTCTGCAGTGACAGAACGATCGACGGAGGATTAACGCTGATTTTTTTTTCTCTTGAAACGTGTGGATTTTAGGACATGCCGTCGTCTATTTCCAGTGATAAAAGCCCTGAAGATGCCGAGTCCTCCCAGTGCACCACGGAGTACTGCCAGAAGTTGCAGCAGTGGATGTGGAGCTACTACTGCGGCTACGCCAGCTGGCAGAGCTGGGTAGCCCTGTCCACGCTCCCCTTCCCTCCTCCGTACGCTGTGACGCCTTCTCATGGGACCACCAGCACACACACAACGACAGGACAGCAGCCTCTTGACTCAAGGAACTGGTACTATTACCCATATCCGCTTAGTTTGCACGGATACCCCGAGGGCGCTCAAAATAATCACCAATTTTACCAGACCACAACCGCCTCCCAAACCCCTACGGATGCCCGCCCGGGACATCAGCAAAATGGGACCCCACCACAGCCAGGTACTACATTTTCCTCTACAATTGTGCCCATAATTGCGTGAGAAAGTGTGTAGTCTTTAAGCCACGCCATGAGATTCAAACAGGCTTATAGTCTTGGGAAGATTATATGTTTAAATGGGGCTCTTTCAGCAGGCCTCCATTAGCCCTTACTGCCTCCAAGTCTTCACAGCTTTTCCCAAGATAAAATGTATCCCATAATGGTTTGTGTTTGTGTGTTTTAACAGGGTGGGAGTACACTGTCCCCTCTCCCCTCCAGAGATTTATGGCTGAGACTGTGGACTTCTTCATCTTGTTTTGTATAAAAGCCACTATAGTGTTGTGTATAATGCACCTCAGTGGAATGAAGTAAGTAGCCTATAACGAAATACACACTAGACCATTTAGATTACAATGTGTCATGTGAGCAGGACAGGATTATAGAAAGTTTAGAAACCACTTAAAAACTGCATTGGCCTCCAGAGAGCATAGATGTGTCTAAGTAATAGACCTCTCTTGCAATAGTGAAGAGTCATGTTTTGGCCTTATCTTATAATGACTAGAAATATAATAATATAATTTCCAAAATGTCTAAAAGCCATAGAAAGTTAAAGGATAAACTGGTAGAAATACAACAAGATTTATATACAAAAAGACAGGATATGTTCTTCTTTGCAGAGGACATTCTATTATCTAAATGGATGCCGCCTTTGCGATTTGATAATTGCGCCAATTGATTTATGTACTGATACTAATATCCTTGTGTAACACTACA